TGAGATAGATAGATAGATAGATAGATAGATAGATAGATAGATATACATTACCATCTATGAAAATCTTGTCGGCATTGAATAACCCATTGAGGTTGATATGTCGTAAAACAAAACAAAACAAACCAAACCAGCAATAAAAATCTTGTCGGCATTAAATAACCCATTGAGATTGATATGCCGTAAAACAAAACAAAGCAAACCAAACCAGCAATAAAAATCTTGTCGGCATTAAATAACCCATTGAGGTTGATATGCCGTAAAACAAAACAAAGCAAACCAAACCAGCAATAAAAATCTTGTCAGCATTAAATAACCTATTGAGGTTGATATGCCGTAAAACAAAACAAAACAAAACAAACCAAACTAGCAATAAAAATCTTGTCGGCATTAAATGACCCATTGAGGTTGATATGCAGTAAAACAAAAGAAACCAAATCTATATTTTAAATTTAAATATTTAATATAATAGTTTAAATTTAAATATTTAATATAATATTTTAAATTTAAATATTTAAAGAAATATTTTAAATAGTTTATTTATTTTGCTTGTCTAATATTTTTACTTCTTAAAAGGGTCTTTTATTATTTGTCTGACTATTTAAATAACTTATTTATACTTTGATTGTTGAATAGACTTTTACAATGTAGCAAACATTTCCACTTAGATTTAAATCCTTCGGGATAATTTTTTATCTTAACGTTTTTTCATTGGCTGAATTGTAATCAACACCACATATTGTCTTCCTTTGTTCTTTCTTTATTTCCTTTTTCTTTCTCCTTTTTTCCCATTTTTTTTCCTATTCATGTACATCTTTCTTCTATTCTTTTTTATTTTTATTTTTTCTTCTTTTTCTTTGGAGTTATGACGAGTTGTCTTTTAATTTTTCTTAACTCTTATATTTCTCTTTCTTCTTCTTCACTTTTTTCTTTTTTTGTCTTCTTACCATCTTCTCTTCCCTTTTACCTTTCTTCTTCTTCTTCTTCTTCTTCTTCTTCTTCTTCTTTTTTCTTCTTCTTCTTCTTCTTCTTCTTCTTCTTCTTCTTCCATTTTTTTCTTTTTATGGAATCCCTTTATATATTTCTTTTCCTTTTATGGTGTTTTTCCTTATGTTACTGCAAAAAAGATTTGAATAATGGAAAAAAGAAAGTGATTTTTCATAAATAGCATTTTTAAATAGAGTCGTTTATAACAATATTTATTCCTCACCTACCGAGATGCATTTGCATCGAAACAAAAATGCATTTGTGCTGTTCGTGAGTACTTGTTTGTCCGTATGTAACAACTTTATAATAAATAACTATTGCTCTACTCTTGGTATTCAGCCCTGTTTTAACTTAATGCTATGGACGCATGAATTTGTTGTTTTTTCATTCTCATTACATTTGGATATATATATATATATATATATATATATATATATATATATATATATATATATTAAAAAAGAGAGAAACCGCAAACGTTATGTGTGTGTGTTGTGTTCTGTGTGTGTATAAGAATATATACTTATATATATATATATATATATATATATATATATATATATAATATCACATTGAGTTCTGGTGTTAATAAGAGTTATAAATTATATCTCAATCATATGTATATGTGTTTATATATATATATATATATATATATATATATATATATATATATATATTAATAAATATACATTTTTTCTTTACCAGTAGAACGATTCTGAATTATATAATATCGTGCACTGAATGGTGCTACTGGCGTGGAAAAATGTATGTTTATTAATATCTATCTATCTATCTATCTATCTATCTATCTATCTATATATATATATATATATGTACCTGTGCGTGCGTGATGTTATGAGATAAGCCTGACCCCAGGGATTCTAACCCTGCATTAGCACCGTCATCATCACACTCTCACCAAATCCTGCAACACCTTTATCTGTATAGTCTAAGACCTTCCTTTGAATTCCAACTTATCCAAACTCGATTCCAGTGTTTTTGGCACAGTTCCAAATGCATCTACTCTTAATGGCACCATTCCAACCTCTCTATGCCAGATATCAGCAACGTCCCGGTATTTTACATTTTCTCTGTGGTTTCCAGGCAAAGATCTGGCAAGTTCTTTTTTTTCTTTCCATATTCCATTCTCAATTAACGGATCCACTATTCTTGCTTGGATAGAATGGTCGGTTTCTGTGTCGAAATCCTCAAGTATTTTGTGATTTTTGTATTCCAGGACAACCTCTTTTTCGTATTTCGTTTGTTTACATCGTTAGATCTGAAGTCGTTCACGCAATTCCCAGTGTATGACTGTTGCCACCTTGTCGTATCTATCTTTCAGAGCCAGTTTGCTACTTTCATTAAATATGGGGTTTACCTATCTTCTTTTTCTTGGTAGGTAAGTATCTTTTTCCGTTTCTCTCTTGAGGTGTCCTCTGTTCATAAATTTTAGTCTGTGATATTTTCTGCTTCTTAAATTCTTCGTACAGCCTTTTCTTTTGCATTTTTTTTTCTTTTCTTGTCGAGGTATTCACTTCTCTCTCAATTGTCGTTTTGTTTTTCTTTTCTTGACGCATTCGATCATTTTCTATAATATTACCTATAATATTTTCTATAATAATTTTCGTTGCATTATTGTAGGTATATATCCAACTCCATTTTTTCTGTTTTGGATAGTCTTCGATGTTGAGTTGTCTGCCGACATCTTTCTATTTTATATATAACCGTTTTGTATTATCTTGAAAATAATAATAATAATAATAATAAAAAGTTCAAAATGGAGTTTCAAATAAGTGAAGAAATAAAAGTAAAGCACAATACACCAACTAAAGCTGCAAAATACTTAAAAAAGAAAGCAAAAGCAAATGCAACCGAACAAACGAGGGCAAGATAAACCGATTCCAGGTCAATACTCTACCCGTACCAAAGAAGCTGATGTAGACAACCTCCGTACCCATCAGTGGTTACATAGTGCAGGGTTAAAAGCTGAAATCGAAGGTTTTATCCTTGCTGAGTAGGAGAACCAATGTTTGTTAACTCGAAATTATCAAGCACACATACTAAAATATTGTGTTAGCCCAAAATGCAGATTCTGTGATAAATATCCAGAAACAATTGATCATCTTGTATCAGGTTGCAAGGTATTGGCACCCACTGAATATAAAACACGGCATGATAGAGTGGGCCAATATCTGCACCGGAAAATGTGCAACTTCTACGGAAAGGAAACTGAAAGAAATTGGTATGAACACCAGCCAGACCCGGTTACGGAGATAGAACCTGTAACAATTTTATGGAACTACACAATACACACAGAACAATCAAAGCTAATCGCCCAAACATTATTATTATAGACCGCAAAAAAAAAAAAAAAATGCCTCTTCATTGATATGGCAGTCACTGCAGATTGCAATGTATCATTGAAGATCTTCAAAAAGCTATGAAAATACAAGGACCTTGAAATCGAAATCTCAAAAATGTGGCACATGAGAACATCAACAATTCCTGTTGTAGTTGGAGCCCTCGGATTGATTGGAAAAGATTTCAATAGACTTATTGAAGGGATTCCTGACGGTCCATGCCTTAAAAAAATACCAAAAATTGTTTTCACGATTACAGCCCACCTTAGGAAGGGCTTTATCTATGTAAAATATGTATGTTGTTTTTTTTTTTTTTTTTTTGTCTGTTTTTTTCAATTGCTCAGGGGAAAATGTCATGACGCCATTTCTGACGTTAAATCTCTGATCTGGACCCGGAAAGAAATGAATACACACCAGAAATAAAAGGAAATGATAATAATAATAATAATAATAATAATACTTACACTGGACAATGTGTAAGCCACTTTGGAAAATGTGTAAGCAAACACTGGTATGAACATCGGCCAGCGCCGGTTACAGAAATAGAAGATGTCACCATTCTATGGGATTATACCATCCACACAGACAGAAAAATTGAAGCAAATAGGCCGGACATTATTGTCAAAAACCAGAAAGAAAAAACTTGCCTACTAATTGATATGGCTTGTCCAGCGGATTGTAACATAGCAACCAAGGAATTTGAAAAACTATCAAAATACAAAGACCTGGAAATTGAAATAGAAAAATGTGGAAATTGAAAACAAGAATAATACCAGTGGTAATAGGTGCACTTGGAATTATAAAAAATGGAACAAAACAACACATTGAAAGAATCCTGAAACCCCAGCTTAAGAGACATACAGAAAATTGTCTTATTAAGTACAGCACACACTAAGGAGAACTTTGTCTATGTAACGCTAGCAACTTCATCGGAGAAAAAAAAAAAAAAAAAAAAAAAAATTAACCTGAAATGTGGCCATAACAACACACCACGACCTGCCTTAGGTCTTTCTGCAGACTTGGTAGGTAGTGTGTCCATAGCAGAAATCGAATGATGATGATGATAATAATAATAATAATAATAATAATAATAATAATAATACTTATTATTGTGTTTTGAGTTTGCTTTGTGTAGTACGAGTTGTCCCCAAGTCTTAACCAGAGACTTCAAGAGGCATCAAAGTTTTTTGTATGAGAAGATGCAAACAGATGAGGATGAAATTAGAGAGAAAGTAATATGTAATTGTGGTCACTACCTGGAAAGAAATCTGCGCAAGATGTGAAAAGTATCCATAAATGTTTTTTGCAATTCGCATATTTTACAGTGAGGCAATTCTAGAACAACACCAGTTGCATCAATGTTAAGGTTATCTTTGCCGTTGAGATATCTACATTCGATGACCATCTCTCGTGAAAATCAAGTTGTACTCCGCTCCTTTACTTATCTAAACATTTTTCGCTGTTTTCCTCTGTAATTTCTTTCTATTGCAAAGTGTCCTTATCATCTCTGCAATTAACATCAATGCATATGATATTTTCATGATTCTTGACATTCTTCTGATGAGTGGTCACTTTTAATCTAGACTAAAATGAGGCAATTCTCTGGGAACTGGAGATCCTAACAGGATTCATCATTGGCGGCCATAAATTTAAATTAACATTGCATGTAAATGTAATAAATTTAATAAATTAACACAAATTTAA